GCCCCAGGGCTCTGTTCTGGGCCCAGTACTCTTCAACATCTTCATCAACGATTTGGATGAAGGGATAGATGGGGAACTCATCAAATTTGCAGATGACACCAAGCTGGCAGGAATAGCCAACACTCCAGAAGACAGGCTTCAGATACAGAAGGATCTGGACAGACTTGAACACTGGGCACTAACTAACAAAATGAAATTCAATGGTGAAAAAAGCAAGGTTCTACATTTAGGCAAGAAAAACCAAATGCACAAGTACAGCATAGGTGGCACCATGCTCAATAGTAGTAACTGTGAGAGGGACCTCGGAGTCCTAGTAGACAATCACCTAAATATGAGCCAGCAGTGTGCTGCAGCTGCCAAAAAGGCCAACACAGTGCTAGGCTGCATTAACAGAGGGATAGAATCAAGATCACGTGAAGTATTAATACCACTTTCAATGCCTTGGTAAGGCCACACTTGGAATACTGCATCCAGTTTTGGTCACCACGATGTAAAAAAGATGTTGAGACTCTAGAAAGAGTACAGAGAAGAGCAACAAAGATGATTAGGGGACTGGAGGCTAAAACATATAAGGAACGGTTGCTAGAATTGGGTATGTCTAGTTTAACGAAGAGAAGGACAAGGGGGGACATGATAGCAGTATTCCAATATCTCAGGGGCTGCCATAAAGAAGAGGGAATTAAGCTATTTTCCAAAGCACCTGAAGGCAGGACAAGAAGCAACGGGTGGAAACTAATCAAGGAGAGAAGCAACCTAGAACTAAGGAGAAACTTCCTGACAGTGAGAACAATTAATCAGTGGAACAGCTTGCCTCCAGAAGCAGTAAATGCTCCAACACTGGAAGTTTTTAAGAAGAGACTGGACAGCCACTTGTCCAAAATGGTGTAGGGTTTCCTGCCCGAGCAGGGGGTTGGACTAGATGACCTCCAAGGTCCCTTCCAACTTTACTACTACTATTATTATTATTATCACCAGGAATCACGTTTGACTAGGAGATTTTATATTTTGTTTTATGGGCATCTGGATAAAAAGGACTGTTAAGGAGAACATTAGGCGGATGCTATAGAATATTGGAACCCAATAGAAGCAGGAAGGAATTTTATAGACTAATGGTGAAGTTGAAAAAAATTGGGAAGGAGGCAACGTCAAGGTCCCCCAGCTGGAAGAAGGAGGGGGCCGAATATCAAACTATGCTTGGACTGACTGTTAGGAAAACATCTTACCTGAATCTGATTGGTTGCACTGGGGTGGGCAATGAGAGATAGTTAAGAGAGGGAAAAGTAGAACTTAGGGATTTTGGTGCGTGATTTTCAGTTCTGGCTTTGCAATACTGCAGTACACCTCTAATAAACTATACCTTTCTCAACAAATGGAGCCAAGGATCATTTCTAATTAGAGATTTAAGCTGTGGCAGGTCTGACGTTTATAATGAACATGTAGCAGTCCTGTTACGTACAGTAGTATTTTTATAGTTAGAGTGCAGTACTGCAGGCCACTTTAGCTGACTGTGTTCAGCAGGTCAGCGGTTCAAATCTCACTGGCTCAAGGTTGACTCAGCCTTCCATCCTTCCGGGGTAGGGAAAATGAGGACCCAGATTGTTGGGGGCAATGTAAATATATATATATACATTGCTTACTGGTGTACACCGCTTAGAGAGTGCTTGCACTTAAAGCGGTATATAAGTCTCATAAATAAATAAATAAATAAATAAATAAATAAATAAATAAATAATGGATTTGTGCATATGCGTGTTTGTTCAAGGTGGCACTGACTCCCAATAAATGCCTTGCAGTTTTCTTGTCAAGATTTTGGAAGCGATTTGCCATTACCTGTTTCCTAGGATGAAGAGAGAGAGTCAGGCCCAAAGTCAGCCAGTTGGCTTCATGCCAAGGGCGGAAGTAAAACTCACAGTCTCCCCATTTTTAGCCTGGTGCTTTACCAAACTGGTTCTCACATATAATGGACCACTCTATTATGAAGGGAAACTGAAATGAGTGGTGTTGTTTTTGTAGGAAAAGAATTGTTCTAAAAAGCAGGAAAAAAAATGCCTGGAGTATTGTGGCTATAGAAGTCAATATATATCCGGTTGGTCTAGTCAATTTAAATATACTCACTAAGTTCAGCAAGCTACATTTAATTTCCTGCTGCAACTGCCCAATTTGTCTATTTCAGATACTGTACAGATTGAAAAGACAGGTTGAAAGTTTAGGATATTATTTATTACTGTGTAAAAAACTAGGCTGAACTTGTATACATGTGTTCTCTCTCTCAGAAAGGAGTCAGAAAGGAGAAAAGACATAAAGAATCACTAAAATGCAACCATGTGCTGTTTACGGGATGAAGCCACTCACTGTTTGAGCAATATATACAACTAAAAGGCAGGGTTTTTTTTTTTTAAAGGAAGATATGTTTTGGGGGAGGGAACTTGACAGGCCACACACAGATGCCACTCCAGTTTTATTACAAGAGCAAAGTATTAGCATTTCGAAAGTGGCTAGTATAAGCAGAGATGAAAGAATGGATAAACTTTTACTAAAGAAGCTTTGCTTTAAAAAAGAGAGCGAGTGACAGATCTGTTCAGATTTTATGTTTAGGAGAAGCTGCCATCCTAGCTATGGTATTATTTAAATTCAATTCAATTACTTACCATTGATATATGCTCTGTCTGTCTGTTCTTTGGAGAATCAAGCCAAAGAGCCTTTAACTCCAGAATAATAGAGTTGGAAGGGACCTTGGAGGTCTTCTAGTCCAACCTCCTGCACAAGCAGGAGACCCATATATCTTTGCTCATCACGCCAGATAGTCTGAGTCTCTGTAAACACATGTCCTTATGTGGAAGTACAGTTTTTTTATCCAGTTCTGCTAACTCTGCTAACTCTTTTAACTTTAAGTGATATAAGCTGTTGCTTCAAATTAATTGTAGTTACATGTTTTGGTGCTGTTGAAAAGAGCCCTAATTAAAAAGCAATTAGTCATGGACATTATTTTGAGGTCCCCATCTATTGGGTCACCTCTGCTTCTAGATTTTCTCTGAAGCTTCCTATTCTCTTCCTGAGAAAAGCTTTGAAATGAATAAAGTCGCTTTGTTTAACATTCTCATAGGGTCCCTCTGTGAGGGAGATGGGTGGTTTCAAAAATTTGATAAAAATAAATAAATAATTTCTCCGTGGAAACCTTGTTACAAAGCATTGTGAGACATATTGACCTTCCCAGGCTCCTAGGAGTGACCCTTCTTTCCTTTGCTATCCTTGTCTTTGCTACACACAAACAGGCTTGCTCATCCAGTCTTCTTCACTGTTTATCATAGGTTTTATGAATGCTAATGAAAAAGGGCCAAAGTAGAGGCTTCTGTGGGAATGGCAGCTTTTTTGTTTTTACATCTAAAATAGAAAGCTATAGCACTTCATTAAAACAAAACCACCCTCTTTCCTTTACTGGGACTTTGAAGACAGAAAAGCAGCCCCTCTCTCTGAAATATGTTGCCCAGGGGACATCTTTTCATTTAGGGATAATCCAGAGCTCAATGATTTACATTGGCTGGTTTGGGTGGATGGACCAGGGTTAATGACTGTTGTGAGAGCCTGAATTAGACCTTAGAAGAACATATACAGTTTATAGAAAACTATGTAGTGTATATTTGTTTTTATTTATCTATATGTAAATAATTACATTTTTATTAGGTTTTACAAATTAGTTAAATGTAAATAACTGAAAATGTTATCTCCTATGTCTCCACAGGATCAGTTTCCTGTAAGCATATTTTAGTTTCTTTCTTAGAATGCTTTTTCTCCTGAAAATAGAATTTCTTCAACTTTTTGCTTCTCTTATCTATGTTGAATATCTTGTAGGAAGTGATATATCCACATTGGTTTAAAATGTAGATTTCTTACCTCAGGATAGCTAGCAAAGTATGGTCCAGTCTGAGCTAGTTATCATTAATTGTGAATACCAATAATTAATATTTTACTTGAGTTAGAACATCTGTATATTTTTACTTATTTACTAAACATCAGCTTGAGATGGATTAAGAGAAAATGAAGGAAATATTCAGAGAATTAAATTTCAGGTTTTTGAATTGTATTCACAGATCACATATATGTAAATATGCTGCTTAAACAATCCATAACATATTTTTGTTGCGATAGTATAGTGATGGCAAACCTTTTAGAGACTGAGTGCCCAAACTGCAACCCAAAACTCACTTATGCATCGTCAAGTGGGTGTGGCCCATTGGCTGAGTGTGGCCAATTGGGTGGGCATGGCTGCAGTGGTAAAGGCAGACTGGGTGGGACTAAAAAGTTCAATCAATCAATTCCAACTTTGCAAGAACTTCCCCCCCCCCCCAGAAGTTGAAACTGACTGATTGAACCTTTTTTTTTTTTTTGCACATGGCAGCGGAGGCCTAAAGAGAAAAGGTTTTATAAAACCCAGCTGAAAGCCTAGGACTGGGGCGACGACGCGCGTGCCCACAGAGAGGGCTCTGAGTGCCGCCTCTGGCACCCGTGCCATAGGTTCACTACCACTGCGATAGTATTTATCTGGCCAGCATGAGTGTTGGTGAAAGATAACTTTCAGACAGCCATGTTTTGAATTAATATATTAAATTACATTTCTAAACTGTGAGTTGGTTCACTTTGATTTTGAAAAGATAAATAAGTCATTTAAGGGTAAGGGAAGAATCTTACATTATCTGGGTGAAACAGATATATTCATACCTTGGCAGCAAGCATGCCTGTCCTTTTAACTCATCAATTGAATAGAAATCAGCAACCTTATTTGATAGGCATTTTAGGAGGACAGAAATAATTTATTTTTGAGATCTATGCGAACTATAAAATCATAGGGCTGGAAGAGACTTCTAGTCCAAGTCTTTAAAAAACATTATTAATAAAGTGAAATCCCTTGGTGGTATGAAAAAAAATAGGCCATACTTAACTCTTTATTATTGATTTGGATTTCTTACTACTTGGTTTATTTTGTTGGTTTGTCTTTTTTTCAGATCAGAGATCTTAAAGTGCCAAGTTCCTTCACAAAGCAACTCAGAACAGAAGGCAAATGTACTTATGGAAGGACAAGATATCTTATCACTTACGCAGCAAGATAGAAGTTCGCCAACTGGTGGTGCAGGAGCATTGGAAAATGGTAGGAAAGGGATAAAAATCTTCAGCTCTAATTACAGACCACTTTAGTGGAAAAGAAACTCTAAACATCAAGGGTGAGGACTCAAAGAAAACCTCAGGAGGATAATTGGTGGTACAAGTAAATGTCCACCAACCCTTTCAAGAGTCTCTTCAAAATATGCTGGTTATATTTTCAATGGTATTAATTTCCATAATTTCCATAATGGTATTAATTTCCATAATGCTACTATGGAAAACTTTATTAAGGAAATGGTGATGTTTCTTTCTTTGAAATGATTTTACAGCATTGAATGTATGATGCCTCAGCCAGTGCTGTAAACACAGCAATGTGGTAAGACTTTCTAATAGGTTGGCACGCACTGTAGGGCTAATTTTGATTCATATATTCAGATTCATTTAATCTTGCCTTTGTAGCAGAACTAGAAAGATATAAAAATAGTTTTTGGATGAATTCTTTTTTTTTATCACAAATCAAAAAGGCATAGCTGTTTGCTTTCTTTTGCCTTCATAGAATCTTTGATAAAGGTGAATCAGCCATGATAATAATAATAAAAAAAGAACAGTTGAGCACAAGCCATCAACTGAATTTAAATGGAAAAGTTTTATATGGGTCTTTAAAGGGGGCAGAGTATCTTCCATTGTATTCCTGTTTATTCCTGCTTTAAAGATAGTCAGATTTACATGAGTGAGGATAACTAGTTAATCATTTCTATGCATTTGATCTTACAGTAAACACAGCAGACTATTTCCTGTTCCAGAAGACTTACTTCTGGAAAACCACTAGTTCATCCCCTGGAATGGCTGAACTAGCACATTCTGGAAGAAAAATGGAACAAATGTTCCATACTCAGAACAGGATATTTTTCACACAATTAGAATAAAGCTGTTATTGAAGTCTGCTGCATAGAAATGTCCGGAATGTTGGTTTTTGTCTCCATTGAAGGAAATCTTAGATCTCCAGTTTATCCTCCAAGATTGTCAGATATTTACTCAGATATGTAGTCATAAAGCTGGAGTTTTTTTCAAACTTATTTTAATTTGATTTTTTTTTACTTTTTCTAATTGATTTCAATTTGTTCTTCATTATTTATTTATTTATAATTTATTTTACATAATTTCTATGGGGCTTCAGCATAAGGCTTTGGGCAGATTAAAAAAGAAAATGATAAGCAAATCATAAAAACTTTGAAAATGTAATAAATACAACCAGTACAAACATACAATGATAGCAGCCTCCACTGTACATTGTGGCCTAAAGCCTGATGAAAGAGCATAATTTCTTTTCAGAAGATTAAGGGGGGGGTGTTCCTTGCATTGAAGGGCAACTGGAAAATAGTGCCTTCAGCTCCCAGTCCTCACAATATGATCAAATATTACTGATAAATCTACCTGAACCAGAAGAGATCTACTCCCCCAGTCAAGGTCTAGGTATAGATCATGTACATGAGTTATCAGTGCAACTTCTGTCCTATGCTTGGCCTGAAATATGACTGGCAGAGATCTACATGACCAGTTTCTTTTAAGACTTTCTGAGGCCCAATTACCTACTCCGAAATCTTCTCCAAAAAGAGAATGTTGAAGATGGAGCAGAATTATCCAGCACTGCTGGACCAGGTGATCAAACAAAGCTATTGAATGGCATTTTCCCACAAAAATGTAGGCCCACATATGATTTGTACCCATGATCATATTTGCTGATCCCGATTATTGCGTTTGTCTTTTATGCTTCTTTATCTTCATCTGAATATTCTTAGTGGAACCTATTAGTAGCCCTTGATCAATAGACAAAGAGGATGCTTGAGGCTATCGCATCCAGTGCTCTTCACCCACCTGGGACAGACCATCCTAACTGCTCCTACTACCCTATAGATGTGAGACAGAAAGTAATTTCACAATAGCACAAGAGCCGAGGTGGCGCAGCAGTTAGAGTGCAGTACTGCAGGCCACTTTAGCTGACTGTGTTCAGCAGGTCAGCGGTTCAAATCTCACCGGCTCAAGGTTGACTCAGCCTTCCATCCTTCCGGGGTAGGTAAAATGAGGACCCAGATTGTTGGGGGCAATGTAAATATATATATACATTGCTTACTGGTGTACACCGCTTAGAGAGTGCTTGCACTTAAAGCGGTATATAAGTCTCATAAATAAATAAATAAATAAATAAATGGAAATATCTTCCACCTTCAAATCAGAAACCAACTTCTCTCAGTTGGACCAAGTACGACCTATAATAAGCATGATTGCTATCATGGCCATAAAATCCTGGATCACTCCTTATCCTTCCCCTGGGTATAGAACCCTCAAGTAATTTTATATCCTACCCTCTATGGAGATTCTCAGTCATCCAGGTCATGAGTGTCCCAAAGATGCTTTTTCGAAAAGCAACTGGACTTCGTTTTTCCTTGAAGACGTTTCGCTTCTCTTGAAGACTAGTCAGAACTGAAGAAACTTCTTGGATGAGAAGCGAAACGTCTTCAAGGGAAAAAAAAGTCCAGTTGCCTTTTGAAAAAGCACCTTCATATCCTACCCCAATTCAATCTGACATACATGTTCTATAAAGTGACTGAGGTAGAACCTTTTCCCAAGAACATAAGGGATTGTATAGAAAAGTCTTGTGATAGTGACCACATGTAAATGAAAATTGAGTACAACTATCTCCTGCTATCACGAATTTGAATAAAACTATCGAATATTCCAGTTGGGTCACCTGCTTAATGTAGAATTTACAAGATTTTTTTTAACCATTACTTCAGGGATTTTATAATTCATAAACAGCTGTTCAAAATTCCTACCAGAGATAGTGAGAGAATGAGAATATCCACACAAATAAAAGTTTGTTTGCAAGCATGAGATGACTCATAAAATACTTTTTTATATGCTTTATTCTCAGTGCTTTATAATTTTGGGGGCTAAATGAACTGACCTAATTATTAATTTAATTTCAAAACAATATAATGACTAAGTGCATCTGTGTATTTAGGACCAACTTTTATTTAGTGTAAAAAACACATTTTTTCCCATGGGCTTTTTTTATATATACTAACATTTTTTTAAAAAAAACAGAATTGCAAAAGACTGAGTTTTAGTTTTAGAAATCAGAGATTAAAATATTAGAGGTATAAGAACACATGCTTCTAACAAACATTTAAGATGAGCATATGACAGAGGTTTCCTTTAAAAGATCATGAGCAAAGATAAAAAAAAAATTAGAGTAAATACCCTTACTTCCTTATGACTACCTGTATGCACTCCCTACAACTTTACAAGAAGCTTTGATCTTAGATCATTCACATCTTTAAGGCTTGTCTTCCATCCGAGCACCAGCATCCATCGGTGTAACTGACAGAAGCCAGAAGCGCTATCTCTACTGTTGCATCAAATAACTACCATATTTAAGCTAAAGGTTTGATGTGGTTTAAACTAGATCCTAGGCTGGTGCAAAAGCAACAAAAGGAGACAATGGCAACTTCCCCACATCCCCTATTGTTTGCTTCTTAACATAATGCACAAATCCCATAGTGGCTGTGATTCTTACAGCTGGGTAGATACAGCATCTGCTTATTAATTAATCATTTGGGATAAATGATTATGTTCAAAGAAAAGCCTTGAAGTTGAAAGCTTATATAAAGAATATGGATATATGAGGCAACCATGCGTTTGAACTAATGTTGGGAAATAAGCATTTTACTTAATTAGAGCTAACATTACACACACACAGAGACCACTTTTGTTATTGTAGAAGAGAAGGACAATTTTGTTCACAAGACATTTTTTGCTAAGCTTGTCATCTGATTGGCATTTTCTTTATTTTGGGCTTTACCACAGTGCCCTCTGCTGGACCAAATGGAAAGCATTCAGCCATAGTCCTAGCATTAGAAGCAACAACGTTTGCCTAATAATATTAAAAGTCCAGCTGGCAAATTGTATTTCTTGCTGGGAGCCGACACAAAATAACTTGTCTTCTGATTCAGGAGGCCATCCCTTATATGTTATCTCAAAAGGAGGAGTCATTTTTTTTTTAGAAATAAAATTTGATTAAAGAGAGATACCAGATTTTAAAAAGGCGTTGGAAGAAAATAACCAACCAGCTTGAGCAGAAGCCTTAAAAAAAAAGGCTGTGGTTTTATATTCCTAGTACCACATAGCAGTGATTAACAGAAAAACCTGACACCTCAGCTTGCAAAATAGCTACTTGCAACAAATGTGTGAATAATAGCTGGCAGCAGTCTTTACAAATGCAGTTTGGAAAGAAATTTGTGTCAATAAAACAGACAATTGTCTAAATTATTCAACCAATATTGTTCTCCCTTGCAAATATACTCTGATTGAAAAGGCTGCCTTAGCCTAAAGCGCTTCATTTTCTCTGGCTGAGTGTTTCAAAAACATGATATTAGTGCCAAAATAAATCCCCTTTTCTCTGTCTACCTGCCATAAACAGCTGGTAGAAAAACATATTTTCCTTCTGAACATGAGACACCCCTCCCAAGATCTTGCCCCCATCTTCCTTGCATCCTTATATCAGATCCTTTTCTTTCTTTGCCTTTGGTTCACCATCTCTACCATCCTCACTCCCCTGAAACAGGTCAACCTTTCCTTTTGTGTGTATGTCTATGTGTGTGTGCCTTTGAGTCTCCACAGTTTTCTTCATGAAGATTTCAGAAGTGTTTCAGCATTGGCTTCTTCCTAGGGTTGAGAGAAAGTGACTGGCCCAAGGTTATTGAGCTGGCTTTGTGCCTAAGGCAGAACTAGAATTCACGGTCTCCTGATTTCTAATCTAGAGATTCCCGATCTTGGCAACTTTAAAGACACGTGGACTTCAACTCCCAGAATTCCCAGAAGTCCACGTGTCTTAAGGTTGCCAAGATTGAGAACTCCTGCTCTAGCCTGATGCCTTAACCACTGTAACAAACTGCCTCTCACTTTTCTCCTTTGCTCCATCCTATATCAAAACTCGTAAAGGCTCTCTTCATTCTTTCCTCCAGCCCACTTTTTCCATTTAGCCTCTGCTATTCCCCAGGCTTTTCTGTAACTATGGGATTGTTTCTAGTCAAGATGTTGCTCATGCCATTGTGCAAGTTCAGGAGCACAATTTAATAAAAGTTCCAGGTATAATTGATTTTTATTTTAATATACTACTTCCCCCTTTTTTCTTTTTATATACATGTACACACAAATTTGTTCAAGAGGAAAGCACAAGACAACCCTCTGTGTGCAATGGTAGGTTACACTGTTGGGGATTAGCAAGGTTTAATAAAGAACGATACTATATATAACTCTTAACAATTGATAAAGGTTATGTTTCTTAAGAAAGGGTACTTGCCTCTTTATACATAGAAATGCTGCAAAGTATGTCTTCAAAGGTAACTCACAGATATGGGGGTTATATTACTCAAGTCCAAATTCTATAGCCATAGAAACAAGCATAAATGTGGATTATAAATTACATAACTAGACATAGATTGACATATTCCTAATTTTCCTGATTATGAGGAGGATTGACTCAAAGGTTGAATTACTAATGATCTAAAAAGAATTTAGGCAAATATATTTCCAAAAGGAGAGAAATGGTGCAGGGCATTTGATAGGATCTTCAATAAGTAAGGTTGCTGTTTCTCAAATGGAAATGTGCTTACTGAAAAAAAAATTACATTCACAACTAATTAACATGTTCTCAGGACTCTTCTTTCTTTTAATTTGTGATAGAAAATGACATATATCTCATATATACTTGCATATAAACCCATCTGTGGATAAGCTGACTCTCAAATTTTTAACTAAATAACACGAAAAATGTGCCATCTGTTGTTGATTCACATTTTCATCATAGTTTGGTTCAAATTCAAGAGTCAGCTTATCCACAGTAGGGTCTATATGCAAATTCTGTATATATAGGATATATGAGTTCTTTTTAAAACGTTTTACCGTATATACTCACAGATAACTCCATCCACAGACAAACTGAACCTAATTTGGGGGGTGTCTGTTGTAGCACCTAGAATTCTCAGCTTCTCTGCAAATATATATGGCAGTGGTCCCCAACCTTCCCAGCTTGGCAGACTGGCGGAGGTGGGAGGGGAAAACGGGATGATTTCGTGCATGCACGCTCACCACTTTCACAAATACAGCTTCATGTGAACTCCCTTACCACTTCCATGGCCCAGCACTGAGTCGTAGACCAGGGGTTAGGGACCCCTGATATATGGTATATCTAGCACTTGTGTATTTAAGGTAGCAGATGAGAAAGAAGGAGGTCCTTTTTTGTTTGGCAATGAATTACTGTAGTATTTGAACTAATTATTCCTAAAATTGTTTTTTTTCTTAAACTGGGTTTAAAAAATACTACTTGAATATGATAGTGATAATAATTGTCTTATTTGAGGCGGTTATTGTTGTTCTTTCTTTCCAGTGGAAGATCAAATGTTTCGTTCTGTGGAAGGCCAGGCTGCGTCTGATGAAGAGGAAGAGAAATGGATAGGAGACCAGCAATCCCAAATGGCTGAAGTAAAGAAACTCCTAGCTAGATTTCCTTGTTGCAATAGCGGGTACGTCTCAGTATCTATGTGAAAGTATGATGGCAACTTTTCTCTTTGCAATTCTTTTTGAAAATGCTGTTGTGCAACATAACAAAAATGTTACAGGTAGACCAGCTTTGGAATATGTAATATGGTTATACAAATAGTCCTTGTTCAGCCACCACCTGTTCAGCAACTGTTGAAAGGTACAACGGTGATGAATGGGAGAATTACTACCTCTCCTTCTAGTTATGGACATCACAGCATACCTGTGGTCACATGGTTGTGATTTGGGCACTTGGCAACCAGCTTGCAATCACAACAGTTGCAGCATCCGGTAGTCTTGTGACCACCATTTATGATCTTCAGTGCCAGCTTCAGACAAGCAAAGTTGATGGGGAAACTGGCTGGAGGTCACAAATGGCAATTACATGACCACAAGATGCTGCAAATGAATAGGATACACCACACAACAGTAATTGGGACCACCGGAACTGCTGTTGTAAGTCAGCATGACGTCACACTTTATAAGTGTGTCACTTAGCTTCAGACTTGCTAGTCCCAATTACTATTGTTAAGAGAAAACTTACCTATATAGAACAGACATATGTAAGAGTTATTAGTAATTGTCCCTTTTTTATGTTTGTGTCTTCAAGTCATTGTTGACTGCAGGTGATTCTCTGGACAAGTCCCTGCGGTTTCCTTGGCAAACATTTGGAAGTGATTTATTTATTAAACCAATTTATGTTTCCTCATAATATTTTAATATTGTGTATCATTAGACTACTAGGATGGAGAAAAGCAGTGACCAGAAGTTTTCTCTCTCTAGATGTGATGACACAACATGGAAGCAGCTGAGGTCGTCCTTTGGAAATGCCAGTTGCTGCGGCCATGAAAACTCCCTTGTGGAATTAGTCCAACGACTCTCAAAATTAAAAGAAGACTTTCAAATGAAAGGGCAGGAAGAGAAACCTCTGGAAACAAATATGGAAGAGGTAAATTCATTTTATATTCTGTCCTTTCAGGAGGTACACTACTTCCGATTTGTGGGCTACTTATTACAAGGTCTGCATATTTCAGAACTTCTTTTTCTTATCAGACCTGCTTAAATATGGTCAAAAGACACTTTCACTAATATCACCTGCATATTTCAGAACAAGAAGACTAGGCTGTGATAGTGTTCAACTTTCATCACCTCAAAAGCTTAGTTCTTAAAGAATTCTTTAATTCAAAGCTACTGATAGTGGATAATTCCATGGACTTTTATACAATCATCTATTTACTATTTCTTTATCAGCAAACCTCTAAAATGCAATTCTGTTCTGTTAAAGTACGGGGAGTAGGGCACATCTGTATGTCATCAGATCACAACAACTAATCATCTCCAGTTGGTATAGTCAGGGATAGCAGGATTTTCTATTTGACAACATCTAGATCAGTGGTTCTCAACCTGTGGGTCGGGACCTCATTTGGGGTCGAACGACCATTTCACAGGGGTCGCCAAACAAGGCTGTCTGCCATTTTTTTCCCCTTTTCTTTGGCCATACCCCTGGCACCCGATGATGTATAAGTGGTTGGGGTCACCACAACATGGGGAACTGTATTATGGGGTCGTGGCATTAGAAAGGTTGAGAACCACTGATCTAGATGGACATAGTTACCTAGCTTGGTCTTATACAACACTTTATATAGCCTTGTGGTTCATACTGTATATTTATTACAAATGTATATTTGTACATAAATGCAAATAAATATATATTTCATTGTAAGAGTAGCTGTGTTCCTTTCTTCCACTGCAAATTCCACCTCTTCCAATTTGTGCTGTTAATGTATCTAAAAATAGAAAACCAGTGTCTGACTGGAATTAGCAACTTCCCAATTGCTATTTTAGACCAGGGCTTTTCAACCTTTTCACCCATTGTACCACTCTTAGGATATAACAATATCCGAGTACCACCAGTTGCCTAGCAAGGTGTCAAAAACCTGATGACCCCCCAAAAAAAAGGAAAAAAGTGATGAAGTACAGGTAGTCCTTGACTTACAACATTTTGCTTAATGACTGTTCAAAGTTACAACGGCACTGAAAAAAGTGGGTGGCTGCAGCAGGTTTTGGTTGCTTCACATGATCCTGGGACACTGTGACCATCATAAATATGAATCAGTTGCCAAGCATCTGAATGTAAATCACAAGAGCCTGGAGATGCTGCAACATTCCAGCTGATTGGCGCTTCTTCTGGGCTCATTAGAAGCGCCAGGATCAGCGCCAAGCTCCAACTGGAGCCTGGTGCTGATCCTAGTGCTTCCACTGAGCCCTGACAGCCCCAAAGAAGTGCTGATCCTGGCGCTTCCGCTGAGCCCTGACAGCCCTGCAGCTCCAGCCATCTCTCGCTCAGGCTTGTGTGGTGCTGCCACCGATTCAAACCACTTTTCTAGGATGGTCGCGTACCACCTGCCAGGTGCCAATGTACCACAGGTGGTACCCGTACCACTGGTTGAAAAGCCCTGCTTTAGACCTTCCCTTTCTTTCTTTAGTATTTTATCTACTTTGTGCTATTAGGAAGCATAGTTTTTTTTTATCCTGAGGAAATTGGAAATAACTATTGATTTGCCAAGTGGTAAACCTTTTTACAGTTCTAGAAATATCTTCTAAACATCTCTAGATATCTGAAATTCTGAGATCTGGATAGATACATGAGTATTTCAGGTTAATTCTGCATCTAAGTGGTAGGCTTAGTTGTACACATAAGCCCCAAGTCTTAAAAAGAAGTAAATAGAAGTATATAAAACTATAAGTCATTTCAACTCCAGGCAAGTCAAGAATAATGGGCACCAGAAAGAATCAATAATTGATCCAATCTTTTTCATCTGCTATGATTTTACAAAAGCTAGAGGATGAAAAGAGCTGTTTGCTTTGTTTCCTTTTTAAGTGTATTCCAATAAAGAGCTGCAGTTAGAGAACTATTTTGCAAAGAAATTTTAATGAAGGTGTCAGATAGCAGATGATACATTGAAGCAATCATTAGTAAACTCTAAATCTAAGCCTAGAATTACAAAATGTGGCTTGTAGGATAGATATCTGAGTTTCGCTGGAATATATTTATTCATTGACCAAGTCATGTGCATTATCTATAAGGAATTAACTGTAAGCAGGCATTTTCTAGTGGATAGATACATGAACGTTGGAACAGCTTTTACAAGGATTTAGATAACCTTAATGTAGACAAGGATTTGGTTTAGATGTAATTACAATGTAGCACCTTTAAAACCAGCCTGCAGTGTTACTGTATGTTCCAAAAGAGTTTTATAAGTTGGAAAATAATACAATAATTGCAGCACATTTACAGTGTTGATCAAGAAAATAATTGAGGCTGCATTCAGACCCAATGTAATAAGCTCATGGGAACCTTTTGCAGAATTTCTTCAATGGTTTTGTTATTGGTACAAAATGCAGATACCCAATGAGCTTATGATTATGAGATACGTGCTGAAAATCTTTTTGTTGAATTTGTTTATCTAACAAAGAAAAAATGGGCAGAAAGAAATAGAACATTCTGGAATAATATTGCAGGCAACTGACACATTTCAGTCTTACTTTGGATATAGGCGTGTGTGTTGTAGGGAAGCCAGTACTGATGATTAGAAGAATGTTGTTACCCATGAAGACAGGAACAAGATGTTGTAGTGAAAATAACTTACCCCAGTTTATCATTGTATCAGGAAAGAAAAATAATGTCTAAACCAGGCTGCTGATCAGATGGTGTAATGTTATGACTGACAAGAGCAAGCAATTATTTATGTGCTTTTTTTTTGGCTACAAAAAGACTATGAGTATAAGAATTTAAATAACACATTTAATAGTTGGTGAGACTATGTAATCTTACCATATTGCAGATTTATCCAGAAGTCAAAAGGTAACTTTATTTTAGAACAAGAGAATTAAGTTAACTTTCAGCCGATCCTGTCATTTAGTCAATTCAAATATATTATACTGTAGCTCTAAAAGAAATGGGTATGTTAAAGAAATTCTGGATGGATCCTAAACTATTTCACACTTTATTCAAATAACATTTGCTGTTCAGTTACAAAATAATTGATTATGGCAGTACTTCCTACCAATTTTAAAGCCAATCTTAGAAGTTAACAGCATTCCTTTTATTTTCAATTCTCTCTCAAAGGACTCCAGTTATGGTTGGAACTGCAATAATAATGTACAAAGCTTACACAAAAGGATGAACAAGGACTGGAAAATGTAAAATGTATGCCTTAGGAAGTTTTGTTTTAAACTGCAGTTTAAAAAACACACACAATGGAATAGACCTCTGTTTTGCTGCAAGCAACTGCAGAGAGTGATAATATTTAAGGATGCAGCAAGAATTATTATTGCTTGTTACAGCAAAGCAGAATGAGGTTTAGTCTGAATTGTTAAAATGTAAGCAGGGATTCAGATAGCCAATAAATGTTTAAGCTGGGCAATCTTCCTGCTTGGCAGACTATAATATTTTGGCCAACGCTTCAATAGAAACTTAATCTATAGGATGTTCTTCCTTACATTGATCCCAGTAATACAATCATACAATTTATGAATTGTAAAGGATTTGTATAGATCATCTAATCCAACACCCCATTCAGTGCAGGAATGGCAAAGTCATTTTGAGATTTTTGTCCCTGAAGGACAAATCCCCCATCTTGGTATCATTTACAAATCTAATTAGCATGTTTTCCATTCCATCTTTTAGGTCATTCATAAAGATGGTTTTGGAGCAACACAAGCTACTAGCCCAAGTGTTGCAGTAATTGTACAATGCCAACAGATGAGAATTAAAATAAAGGTATACAATACATTCTGTATGCCTTCATAGTCATACGACTTACGTTGGTTGAAGTCAACTTAGTAGGACTCATTCACATGATATACTATAAGCCTTGTGAGTATAGTCACCATTTTAGGTATTTCCATGTTGAAAATTTCCTCTTAATAAATGAAGCTGTTTAATATTACAGTAATCAGAATTCATTAGTTATAATTCAGACTACAGTCATTTGCAGACAAGATCTCTGTTATATTATTTAGTCAATTTATTAGTTATCTCAGTTGCTCAATATTAGATTATAATTAGATTCTGTGCAATGTGCAGTGCTTAGAAATTTTGCATCTCTTCTGCCATTACAGAAGGAGGATTAGCCACGAATCCTTATGTTCCTTAAATAACATCTCTTAATTGCCTCAACTCTTTGTGTTTCAAATTGGAGGTATTGGGGCTTTAATTACTGGGTTCTCCTAATTATTTTTCTTCTCTTTCTTCAAATAGCAGAGTAGCATAGGCCACTATTTAAAATAAATAAAATAAAATAATAAAATAAAATAAAATAAAATTGAACTGTTGTTCAATATCTACTCTGAGTCAATCTTCAACAAGGCACTGGGGAACATCGATGCTAGCATCAAAGTAAACGGTGTTTGGATCAACAACTCAAGATATGTTGACGATACAGTTCTGCTTGCCAGTAAGCATGAAGACCTTCAGCTCCTCATCAACAGAGTCACAGAAATATCTGAAAAATATGGCTTGAAGCTTAACACCTCAAAAACCAAGATCATGGTCATCAGCAAACAACCCATTTCCACCAATAAATTCAGAAGGAATACCACTAGAAAAAGTTGAAAGGATCACACACCTTGGTTCCAATTTACATGAAAGTTGGGACATGACCGTTGAAGTAAAGACAAGAATAGAAAAAGCTTGAACAGCATTCTTCAAAATGAAAAAGGTCTTGACGACATAAGCATAAGACTGAAAATCAGGCTTGTCAGATGCTATATTTTTTCTATCCTGCTCTAGGGAGTAGAGAGTTGGTCTCTGACAGAAGGGCACCTGAAGAGACTAGAAGCATTTGAAATGTGGATTTATAGGTGTCTGTTACGTATAAGCTGGGCTGACAAGATCAGAAATGAGGAGGTGATAAGCCACCTGGGAAAGCCAATGGAAATCATCAAAACAATTAAAAAACGAAAATTAGAATATTTCGGACATGTGATGCGACACCCAGAAAAATACGGCATACTCTATTTAATCCTCCAGGGAAAGACTGAAGGCAAACGAGGTCCAGGCAGAAGAAGAACATCGTGGCTTCAAAATCTAAGGGACTGGTTTGGACAAAACTCAGCAGCACTTTTTCGTGCGGCTGCTGATAAAAACAGGATCAACAACCAATCGCAAGAGAAATATTTTATGGTGTGGAAAAAATGGGTGAATTTTATACAGCGCAAATATGAGATTAGAAAGTATTATTTAGCTTTTGAATAATTTATGTTTAAGGTAATGATTAGAACTGTTGTTTTGTTTTGTCTTTATATATTGGAGTTAAAGTATTTAAAATTTTGTTCTTTGAATGTATTTATAATTGTTTGATGTTTATTTAAGTTGTAAGGTTTTTTTCTAGTTTTTATTAACCCTGTATTCAGTTCTGGGAAGGACGGGGGAGGGTGATGGGGGGGTTGGGGGGTGGGAGAGGGAGAGGGGGATTATTTTATTGTAAAACTGTAAAAATTTTCAATTAAAAAAAAACACAGGATCAACAACATGATCGCCAACGTCCGATAACGGATATGGCACAAGAAGAAGAAGAAGAAAATAAAATAAAATAATAAAATAAAATAATGTCAGGAAATTATGGATTTGGGCCCCTCCTCCCACAGGCAAGAATCTGTCATGATTTTTCTTAAAAGAGGTTATTTAAGCTGCTAGTAGACGGTATGCCCTTACTCTTCCTCTTGCACACTCCTTTAGAACCACCAAAAAGCAATAAGATGGGCTGAACACAAAAGGGGAAAATTTGCAATAACAATTACTTAGAACAGTGATGGAGAACCTTTTAGAGACCGACTGCCCAAACTGCAATCCAAAACCCACTGGGTGGGTGTGGCTGTGGTAGTCATGGCAGACTGGGTGGATGTGGCCAAGGTGGGCGTGGTCACCTCAATGTTGCTCAGCGGGGGGGATGCTTGTGGGGGACAGACAGGGTTGGGGGAGATCCAGGGGGTCTCTGGCAGGTGGGGCGGTGGGCAGGAGACTCATCCTGCGGGGTGAGCAAGGCGAGACAGGGCAGGGGTGCCATTGCTGCAGGGCAAGGCGGGGCAGGGGCTGGGGCAGCTGCTGCCTGACACCATCAGCCCCCGCACACAGAGGCCAGCGAGCGCAAGGGGCCTACAATGTCCATCAGCCACAGCCTGCCGGCCCCTCGACTGGCGCACTCTGGGGCTCCGCAGCCCACTGCCAGCAGTTCAGAGAAGCATAAATGCAGTGGATCGTGCCTGGGAAAAGGAGAGCATGCGAGGCCAGGAGGGATGGGACAGGGGGGAGGGAAACCAGCCATGCTGGGATGCATCAGGCCATGTGGGACCTCGGCAAGTTAGCGGGTGGCTGGTTGAAGAGGAACGGTTGCCATCTCTGGGGCATGGCGCGTGTGCCCACAGAGAGGGCTCTGAGTGCCGCCTCTGGCATGCATGCCATAGATTCGCCACCACTGACCTAGAAGTTGCTGAAGAGGGCATATTCATAAGCAAACATTTATAACTCAAGGAAAACTTTTATGATAGCTGGGATGAGAAACTGAATAGCTGGAATGTCACAGGTTTCTTACAATAACCAGAATAATCTTAACCATGCGAAGGGATATCAGTGAATAATGCATTGATTTATTAGATAATTGAGTTGAATCCCAATTTTAATTTTCGTTTCATTCTAATATGGTATCAACCTACTACATTATCTTCTATGTTATTCACTTTCCATGTGATTACAAACTGTAGAAAAGATGCTAGCTTGTAACCAAGGCATTAATACTTAAAATTATGATTAGGATAGCATTGGCAAGGCATGCTGTTTTTTTATCTGTAACCAATTATATTTGAATTCTGATAGTCTCTAAATCAATAGAAATATACAGAAAAGGAAAGAGAACTTTGATTACAATGCTTACCTACTTAATATGACAATATGTCAGATGCATGTAATCAGAATCACTCTGTGAATAGGTCCACATAGATACTTTATTGCTGAATGCCTATATTACAATAATCTTGCCAGACTAACTGCCTTTCCTTGGGAAACAGCAGATACAGACCTAAGATGTTTTCTCCTCCAAACTAACTACAAGTTGGAATGTCTTTTTATCCTTCCTTGAGGGGCCCCCTCTCCTTCAGCCAGTGATTCCAGCACCCAATATTGCTCTAACTTTCCCTCCTGAAGTTTACCAATTTATCTCTCTTGTGACATTAAACCATAGTACTGAATGTACTTTATATGTTGGTGAGAAAGAAAAAATATTGGAATCACGGGGTAAGAATTTTCAAACAAAGACTGTGTGCTTGAAGTTAACTTTGTATTGACCATATGCACTATACCTTGTAGCCAATCTTTCAGTCGTAATTATTTGAGCATGCAAACAAACTGAAGCAAATATTTCCTCTTCTGCTTAAAAGAATAATAGTTGAAAGGGAGCATTTATGTACTCTATTGACTGTTCCAAATCAAAGGATCCCTGACAAATGGCTTGCCAGCCACACTTTGGTCAAAATGAAAGAAAAGTCCACTTCCTCTCTGAATAATTGGTTTTATATTCAAACTGTTCTTAGTGGCTGGATTTTTTTTCCCCTAACATTCACTTGGAACCTGCTTTTCTATAATCTACATCTATTCCTCTGTGTATTGAGTTTTGTTCTGGCAGAGAAAAGGCCTTGGATTGTGACACATCAGATGATACATTTGAAGTAATCAAAAGTTTTTCACAGTAGTGCAGCTTGGTCTACATTTAATAAGGTTATTCTGAAACAGTCATGGTTGAAGGAGAAATATTTTATTATGGCTTCAATGGGAACTCCAGATTTATAGGGGCAATGAAACTGTAGACTAGAATTAACGGTAGCAGGCAATTTTGTGTATATTGCTTTCCTTGGAAATTATATGTGCACATAGAAAATATATTTGGAATGGCAGCATTTAAAATCCCCAGTTGATCCTAACTACATCAAGTAGTCAGCCAGATATCAATAAAATAGAAAATCACATACTTGCGCACACTTCCTACTAACTGTATTTTTCACTGACGCATTCCATTTAGTAAAATTAATTTGAAGACAGACTTCTGAGGCACCTACTACAGACTCAGACAGAGAAGTCAGATTTTTTATTTTTGTGCTGCGCAATATTTTTTATGTCATCTGTTGTGCAGATGAAAGGCCCATTGCTAGGGGAAATACAACAGAAGGCGGAGGAGTCTGAGCTGATGAAGATGGAATTCCAAATGTTGGAGACAGAGAGAGTAAGGCTATCACTGGTGGAAGAAAAGCTCTTGGATGTTTTACAGCTGCTTCAGCAACTCCGGGATCTGGTAAGAAAAAAAGACAAAAAACCCAAAAATGAAGTAGTGGAAGAAACAACAAGCTTAGATGCTGCTCCTCAGAATAGAATAGATGGACATCCTCTGTAATTTTCTGCAAGGTCTTCGGTAGACAGACTTTATCTGCTATTACACTGAGTTGCTAAAAAAAAGTTCAGCTATAGATAGCTATCTTAGAAAAGGAAAACATGAACTTCTAGATAAACAATTTTCCATTAGAGATATACAAGGCACTCTCTATAATTTAGAGCTAGGAGAGTTGTACGCTTGTTTAAGGTAGCTGTTAATATTTTTCCTGTTGAGAGCCTTTGATTTTGTGTAGAATTACTGCATGAGCTTCTGATCCAAGTTTTACTTCTGCCATGAATTCTCTTGGTGACCTTGAGCAAATCATTCTTTCTCATATTGATCTGCAATATGGAACACAATAAAACCATCTTTTTAATACAGGTTATTTTACAGCTACAATTACATTATATAGGTGAAGAAAATTATTTTTAGTGGTTAAATAAGATAAATGAGCAAAACTGAAACAGTGCGGAAGAAAAATAGTCATAGAATTATTTCACACATGCACACACACACTTCATATCTGGTTTAAAATTTACAGTAGGAAACTCAGCTTTTTTCCTTTTGCTTTTTTTTAAAAACAAAAATAGCTTTGCTATTAGCATTTCTAAGGGATAGGCGTGCCCGGCTTCATAAATGTTATTTAAAAAAGGTGGTGGCGTTCTACTTTCTAGGTCTTGTTCTGTCCCAGCCTACGTCCGCCCTTGTTACGTCACAAGAACAAACCCCTCTTAAACAGTAGGCTGGGAAAACCAACCTCTTTTTATTTTCAAAACAGTCCTGATAAGTTTTTCTCCAAAACAAAAACACAGAATACTTTCCTAACAGCTAATTGGTTACAAAAGCAAACAGAGCAGAAGTTTAAATAAGAAATTAACTGATAAAACAAAACAGACCATGATCCTTGGAAGTTCTTTACAAACGGTTGCCTTCAGCAACCAGCACCGCCCACACCTTCCCTTTTTATAAAGCAGTCCCAAAGCGTGGCTTCTCAATGCCTTCGCCTCTTCCCCTGGAGTTGTCATATTGACTGCTGCTGATCTGCTCTAGCTAATTGCCTGCGTCTATGAGCATCAATCATGTCCATCAGGTGTGAATCCTCCAAGTCTGACTCATTCTCCCCACACAGCTGAGCTTCATCCGGAACACGACTGGAGGGCCCAGGCTCTTCATCAAACTGTGAGTCTTGTAATTCATCAGAGCCTCCCTCTGACTCCCTCCAAATGCCTCCTCCACCTCCTCCTCAGATTCCCCAGACTTAGCTGTTGGGAACACAGGCTGGCACGGAATCACAACAGGTCCAGATTTAATTAGTTTAAATCTAAGAGATTTTTTTTCTAAATGTAGGAAAGGAACTAAATCTAGCTGTGAGCAATTTTAATTCTAATCAATCTATTTATAAATGAGTACAAGTCCTGGATTTATGTCCATTTGTCATGTGAATGCCATTTGCAACCTATGCCAACTTCCCTCAAGCAAAGTGCAAGATCCCAGAGAACTCATTCTCTGTAGTAGCCTTCCAGCCACTCTATAGTGCATATACCTGCTGTAACCCTCTTTTGCCCACGGCTTCTGCCAGCCTGTGCACAATCTCCACCAGCCCTCCCAAAGCTTCTGCCAACTTATCTCCATTTCGTGCCACCTGCTTGTGGCAGATAAAAACACACGCACCAGCACCCCTGTACTCTTTGCCTGGTATCCCTGCCTCTTTACATGCTGTGTAGTTCTGGGATTAAGACACAACTGTGACTGCCAGGATTGCCATTGTGAACAGTTACAGTCACACAATGTCATGCTTTACACAAGCATTGCTTAGTGATGGCAATCCCAGTCTCAATTGCTGTTGTAACCCAAGGACTACTGGTAAATAATTCTTATAGGTACTAATAAATACTATGCACACCATTTGAGAGATATTGTGGAGAAAAAAGCACATGATCTTCAATTGATAGGGTATTGGGTATTGTTATAATTAGTTTTTTTTTCCTTTTTGAAAAGAAAATATAAGTAGAGAAGTAGATAAACTGATACATGAAAGGCATACATATTACCCTACCAAACATAGGAATGTAGACATCCAATCTACACTTTGGCATTATATAAACCAAGATGTGACTAGGACCTAAGTACATATCAGTACGCTTTAAATAATGACTTGCAAAGCAATCTCTAGACTAGAATGCTCTGTCTGCATAGAAGAGTGTAATTATAATTGGGACTTTCCAGTTGAAACATGCTGACCAAAATGTGCCCAAACTACTAGTGCTGTTCTTATCATCAGCAAGGAATGGTTGATGAATTACAGATACAACAAAGTACACTCCTTTACATCATCTCTATTTGATTAAATATCATGTGATGACCCAGGGCATGGCACAGAGGTAACACAGTCAGCTGACAGTTCAAACTGCCCCTTTAATGCTCCAGATGTTCCCCAAACGCTCCCACATTTCTGGCAAGTCCCAGAGCAAGTAAGGACACACACATACACGCACACACACACACACACACACACACACACACACCTTCAGCAACCTCTGGCTGCAAGTAGTTTCAAAAGATTTTCACTCTATATCAGGCAGGAAAAGTGTGTGTGTGGAACAAACAGTCCTCTTTCAGAGTTGCTAGATTAGAACAACAATTTACTGAAGGCCAGGTAGATAACAAAGAAAGGAACATATATAGCCAAAATTCAGTCTGAGGTTTGGAATACCGAATCAAGTTTGTCAGCCAGTCCAATGGTCAGAGTTTCAGGGTTTACAAGTAGAAATCACAACACAGAACAGGAGATCAGAGGGTTGTTTCCAATGTCGGCAATGGCACACCAGCCTCCAATAATTCAGCATTTATTCCCAGCAAATGCCCCTCCCCATAGCATCTCCTTAAGTCTCAGTCCCCAGGTGTGCCTTGTAAAGAGGGGCAGGGCGCTCTCCTCCCAAGTAGTTGGGTCTGCCTGCGCTGTTCCCTCTTTCTCTTCACTCTCTGTGCTCGAAGATCGGGAGAGGAGGTCCATGCTCATTACCTGAGCTCTGCCTCTCTTGGTCATCCTGCCTCTATTCCTCCCTGCCTTCCAGCTATCCCAGTCCTGAAAGGCCCTGGCCTGCCTCAGTCTGCTCCTCCCCATATTCCTCTGAAGCCAACAATGCCTCCCCCTCAAACTCTGTCAGCTCCAGCTCTGGCTCATCTTCCTCCCCAGATTCAGGCCCCAATGGAAGCATGACACTATCCCCTCCCTCGGGACCATGTGGCCTGGGACGTTGCGGGAACCAGGCATGAAAGTCACAGACCAGATGAGGAGCATGGATATCGGTGGCATCGACCCAGGTGAAGTCCTCCGGTCCATAGACTTTCCATGCCACAAGGTATTGAAACCGACCCCACAACCAGCAGGAATCCTGGATGCTATCCACTTCATACTTCATTTCTCCATGAGGGGCTATTGGTTCCGGTGGCGGTGGAACTGGTCGATGCAGACTGTTGGCCATTACTGGTACTAGCAATGATCTGTGGAAAACTGGGTGAATCCGCATGATCTGTGGCAGGGATAAGCGAAACACTACAGGATTGATCACTGCTTCAACCAGAAATGATCCCAAGTAGTGGTGATCAAGTTTTTTTGATGGCCAAGCTGTCGGCAGGTACTGTGTGGAGAGCCCACAGCTAACAGATGATGCTGGTCTGCAAATAGTCTGCAAATAGTTTGTAGTCCTCCTTGGCTTTCTCCAGCTGGTTTTGAATCACTTGATGCATAGCTTTCAGCTCTTGGAGGAACGTATCTATGGTCAGAACTGGGGAGTCAGGCGGAGCCAATAGGAAGAGCCGTGGATAGAAGCCATAACTGGCGAAGAATGGGGACATGCGGGTGGATGCTCCAAATAGCGCCCGCCATTCTGAGGATGCTTCAAAAGGCTTCCAAAGCTTTCCAAAGGCTTTCTGAAGAATTGCGAGAATGCGCCAACTATTTGGAGGCTGGCATGTGCTGTTTGGAGAACAGCAGAAGCGATCTTGAGAAGAAGGCCTGGGGTGGCCAGCAGCCACCTTGCATTGGGCCATGCTGGGTATGGCTCATCACCAATGGCAGGGCCTGTATAGCATGGGGCAGCCGGGGCAGCATTGTTTGGGGCACTGCAGTGGCTGAACATGGGGCAGGGCTTCAGGTGGCATTCCCAAGTGCTGGATCTCCAGTAGAGGCCTGGGGGATGGTGATGGGCAACTGAGATTGTGAAAGGTCCCAAGCCTCTACTTCACACCCAACAGAAATTCCCAGTTTGAGGACTACTTTTAGACAGAGAAAACCATTAGATGAACATAATGAAAGGTGAAAAATTTATAAAACAATTTGGTATGAATAAATGATGGACATGATGGAAGTAAGGAAAGAAATGTAAGAAAATGTACAATGAATGATGCTATTAAAATTAGCTTAGCTATGTTTCCTTTTCTTATTTTGTGACTCTAATAACTTTGACTTACTCTTTGTTACTTTTCTGTAGTCTGCATAACCTAACTTTCTCTGAAAAGGAATAGCATGATATATAGATTACATGTATATATGATAACTTTAGTATTTAAAGGATTTTTCTTGCATGCTGTGGAGAAAAGAAAACAGATGTCTTAGAAACAAGGTATCATCAAAATAAAAAAACAGTTTACTAAATTTACCTGCACTGTATCTGTTTTTTCTCTTATTTCTAAACTGCATTTAAGGCCACTTTTTATTATGAATGTAGTTACATCTAATGAGAGCTGATCTGATAGCTAAAATTAGTCTGATTTGATTCTCAAATTCTGTTAATAACTCTTACGAATATATATAATATTTTCCTATTACATTTCTTCTATACTTGTCAGGCTTTCATGTCTTCAGTTGTGGTAATGCTTGCTCCTTGTGACAGTCAAAATCTAATGAAGGATAAGCTAATAAACTGCCATGAGTGATTATAATTGGCAAAAAAATATCATTACATTCTCATTGTCCATCACCATGTTGAAAATCATTTGTTAAGCAATCCATCAACTGACACATAACACCACTGTGAAAATATTGCCCTGAGTCTTGTACGTTACTATATATCATGGCTCTTAAGTGGTAATAATATGATGACTTATCACTCATGGGCCTGGATGTTAAGAATATCTCCTGCAGAGTTTAAGAATCTATATAACAATACACTCATAAAGAACACGGTAGGTTCTTTTTCAAACATGGGAGGGAAATGGTGCTTGTGAATTGAGCTCAGTCTCAAAGAGACATCATCTTTACTTAATTTTGAAGGTGATCAACTGTTAGAGGAAAGATGAGATTTAAATATAGATAATTAAAAATAACAGTAAAATTAAATTTAGCTTTCATGAATGAATACAATTACTTCAGTGCATAAGGGCTAGAAAATCAAACACTCAGAACTCAAACTCTCAAAACTATTTTTCAACAATTTCTGTATCATGCTCATCTCCCTGGTCCCACAATATCTACTATATCATTTATCGCTGTCTGCATCTCATGCTTTCTTCCTTTCACCTCTCCATGACCATTTTTTTATACTTTGCGCACGTGATTGGCAAATGAAGACCAAGTACATTGTATTGAGCCTGCCCATTCTGTTTGACAGTATGTAGAACTACAGAACTGATCACATATACAGGTTGATAGTGTGACTATCCACCATGAAAAAGGGAAAGATGGACTACACAGAGGCCCTTTTCTTAAACGACATGAAAATAAAACCCAAACTGTCTTCTGATGGGTAAACAATGTCTATCAGTCTTGTTTTGCAGCTACATACATTTTGTGTTATGACATTATCTAGCTATCTTGTGGAATATGTTTTGCACATTCACCTTCTGTTTACATTCTGTTATATCTCTTTGTCTCCTGTCTGATGTATATTTGCACCATTGATGTATACAATTTCTCTGAATTGCCAACTTGTTTGTTGATCATAAAGGCCATTAAAAGTAAATCCAATGTTGCAGTTGGTGTGAATATTAGATTTTGGAAGAGGATTAATATATTTCAGTATTGACATGTGCAGATAAAACTCCCTAATATTGTTTTATGTTTTGAAGAACATTTCTAAGCGCACCTTGGGGAAAATCTTACTGAACACTTTGGAATCCTGCTGTGACTCCCAACATGGTAAGAAAGTACAGTAACCTTTGGTACTAAACCTCACAGTTTGGCTGGCAAGACCACTGGTTAGCAGGAAACTTCTCCGGAGGGCAGAGAATTGGCACTGCTCCAATATGTTAGATACCCTGTTGCACAGAAATGGCTTGATCAAGATAGTTAGATAGTAGATAGTGAATGATCTTAAAGATTCAGAAACAGAGATAGACACAAAGGGAGGAAAGGAGAGATTCTTAATGTCTGATTCATCCCCAATCAATTAGCTATCAATTAAGCTAAGAAAGGATTTCAATGAATAAGGACATAGACACACACACCCCCCAAAAAAGCGCGCTCACTCCTTTGAACCCAGATTATAATTCTCTGATGTGGCAAGAAAATGGGTGAGAAAAGAAAACTTTACAGGAGGAATGAATAGCTGGTGATGTGGTGGTGGTTTGGGGATAGTGCAAAAAACATCTAATGCTACCTTGGTCTAGATGGGGGGTGGGCAGACATCTTGTAATTTATTTAGTTGGTAAAAGAGAAATGGAATAATATAAAAAAATTATTGCTTAAGTTTGAAAGAAGTAAAAATGTTATTGAAATTTTGAACTTGAAATACAGTAATGTTCCAGCTTTGGAATTCCCTGAACATATGTGGAGGTTAACATATCATTCTGTTACGTAACTGGAGACATCTAGTGCCAGATTGTGACTGATCAGTGGTATAGATCTATTTCTAACTGTCCTACTAGCCTGATCCAGCACAGAGGCTTAGGCTGGCAATTTGCATTGCTAGAATAAGCTTCTTCATCCCAACTTCTTTTTCCCAGTGACTTCGTACAGTGTAGGATTACAGGAAGGCCGAATGTATGCCCTCTAGCCCATATTTTCTTTAAAATATTTATTCAGCAATCTTAGATTTCCTTTTTTTGCCTCAATGAAAAGAAAGAAAAAAACCAGAAGACAGTGTTGTCGTTTAGCAAAGAAAGTAGGTCAGATCTTCAATATAATAACCTTTCATCTTTATACAAAACACACATTTCTTGAGTTCTCTCTTCTCCCCAGGTAGTAGTCCACTGTGCAGATCCCATTGTTGTGAGATTTTCAGGCTCCAAAGGTTGTTTGATGATTTTGTTCTTTATAGTGAAGTTGGGTATGTGCTTTCTTTTATTATCCTAGGAGAACAGCGCTCCAGATTCTTCTTGCAATTCCAAACAAAATTACATTTATTTCAGTATGAAGCAATATATATATAGAGAGAGGAAAAAATAGGAATCTTTGATTCCACTTTGATCCTATGCACATTGCAATTCCACTGAATTTAAGGGGACTCACCAAAAAAGTGGTTCATAAGGATGGGAATTAAACATCATGGCAATTTTCAGCCTAAGAGATTAATTTATCTGTAATAATAAGATAATTATTTCTACTTCTACATGTGTAGCATTCAATGACATGTGCAGTAGTCTGCAATATTAGTAGCCTTTTTTTCTAAAATGTAAATCTGCTTTGGGAATGAATATAAAAGAAAATGCTAAACCATAAATTATCAATTTTCATTATTGAAAGAAATACAGTAAGTTGCTAAATCCATTAATGAGGAATATTGGTAGTCCTCAACTTACGACTATTTGTTTAGTGACTGAAGTTAGAACAGCACTGAAAAAAAGTGATTTACAAGTGATCCTCACACTTATGACTACTGCAGCATCCCCATGGTCATGTGATCAAAATTTGAATGCTTGACAACTGACATGTAGTTATGATGGTTGCAGTATCCCAGGGTCGTGTGATCATTATTTGCAAGTTCTCAAGGGTTGCCACAAAGAAGAGGGAGTCAAGCTATTCTGCAAAGCGCCTGAAGGCAGGACAAGAAGCCGTGAATGGAAACTAACCAAAGAGAGAAGCAACCTAAAACTAAGGAGAAATTTCCTGACAGAACAATTAATCAGTGGAACAACCTGCCTCCAGAAGCGGTGAATGCTCCAACACTGGAAGTTTATAAGAAGCGACTGGACAGCCATTTGTCTGAAATGGTATAGGGTTTCCTGCCTGAACAGGGGGTTGGACTAGATGACCTACGAGGTCCCTTCCAACTTTATTATTATTGTTGTTATTATTATTATTATTAAGTTTCCCAACCAGTTTCTGACAAACAATGGGGAAAGCTAGATTCTCTTAACAACTGTGTGCTATTATGTGCAACTGTATGGTAATTTGCTTAATGACCACAGCAAAAGAGGCTGTAAACTAGAATACAACTCATTTAACCATTGTCTCACTTAGTAACAGAATTTCCATTCCCAATTGTGGTCATAAGTTGAGGACTATCTGTAACATTTCCTTAAGTATTTGAAAAAATTAAATGACTAAGCTCTAATGTTCCTTCTAACACAGTGATTCTCAACCTTTCTAATGCCGTGACCCCATAATACAGTTCCCCATGTTGTGGTGACCCCCAAGTGGGTGTGGCCACCAATAAGAGGGAGTAGGACAGCTAGGGAAAAGGGAAAAAATGGCGGACAGCATGGTTTGGTGACCCCCATGAAATGGTCATTCGACCCCAAATGGGGTCCCGACCCACAGGTTGAGAACCACTGTTCTAACACATGTTTATATTATATGTTTATATGTGATTTAGAAATATTTTTTCCTTAGGGACATCTCAATACAGAATGGAAATATAATATGTTTAAAAGAAATAGATTTGGTACGCTTATTTGTATATTCATCTCATATTTTTATATAATATGTTGTATATTGATCTCATATTTTTATAGGTTGGAATTTTATTTTTTTAAAGTGGCAGTTAAATTTTACAGTCTAGGAAAAAAATATTTATTTATAAAGAGTTTTCCTGTTTGCCTTTTCATAAATAATTATAGTAGTGAGAGAAAAAATGCACATTCTTGATAGTATAGTTTGTAACTGTGTTTTGAACTAGAAATTGATGAAGAGATATTATCCACAGGCCTACCCTTTTTCGCAGCTGTCTCATCTTAAGCTTGTGTGGTATGCTTCTTCACTTGATTTTTCAGTCAGAATTACTTACATCTCAAAATGTGTAGAAGCTGAACTCAAAAAGCAGGGCTGCCTTAACCCAGTTGCATACTGCACAAGGGTGCTGCATAAGGGGGAAAGTGCCAGTTGCAAGGTAAAAATTGTTTTTAATCAGCAGCTGGAGTTCTTTTAAAAAAATGTTTTTAACATTGGACGAGTGTGCATGCTTTGTGCACAAGGGCTCCTTATATGCCAGTAGTTCCCTGCCCATAAGCTTTTTCCTTAAGATTGCTTTTCTTCTCATGCATTTTTACTCACTAATGCATGAATGCCTTCCCAAAATGTTCATAAAATGTTGTGTATTTGGCAAAACAAAAACAGTGGCTACCATAGATTATCAGTGCAATAGCAGGCTAGAAGACAAATTTGATCTGAGGTATGAGATTATTTTTATATCTGCATTCCGACACATTCTGTTCTGTTTTACAAGGACAAATACTTCAAAACGTTTTCCATTCTTTATTCAAAGATAAATGAATCTTCATCTTAATCACCCCAATGTCTCTAAGGCAAAGCAACATGCCAGATAAAGGGGTTACTTCACTTGGGATTACTTTGATCTGAAGAAAAATATAGAACAGTGGTTCTTAAACTGTTTGATTCAATTACCTTTTCTTTGGGTCTCAAATACTGTCATTATCCATATAAAAACAAAAGAGTTTTAATAGTTGCAATGCTAAACTGGATCCTTGATCATAAGCAAACAATTGCAAATCACTCTGTTACCGCCAGGATATACCCAGATTATTGCTCTGGATAACAATATGGGCAGCATACAAATTTAGTTAATAAATAAATAAATACCCGTAAAATTAACCAGAATGGGTCCAAATATCTCACCTTTATGCTGGAAACGTAAAACAGCAATAGGATCATATTATCATATGATAATATGCCCAAAGGCTTGTGAGTATTGGAATAGGATACGAAGATGGCTGAAAGATATATTAATGTTGGACTTAGAGTTAAAATCTGAACTTTTCCTGTTGGGAATAACTACAGAGAAATACAATAAGGGAACAATCTATTTGCTGTTACATAGCTTGACTGCAGCTAGGCTAGCGTTCGCGCAAAAATAGAAGAGCAAAGATATTCCCACAGAGGAAGAGACACTATATAAAATATTATCATGTGCGGAAATGGACAGGCTCACAATGGTATTGAAAGACAAATGTAGATCAGTTTATTTCGAAACCTGGGATAAATTTTACTGCTGGAGGGATTTGAGGAGGACGGTTGGGATTATAGGCTAGCGTTAAGATAGAAATACATGTGATTTTAGAATAAGTATTGTATATAAAATTTAGATGTATATTCAGAGATGAAGAATCAGTTGTAAAATGTGGAATAATTTGATAAGAATGTATATACTGGAATGTCACATTATATCCAATGTTTTTTAATTATATTATAAATAACATTTTGATTAAAAAAAATAAATACATAAATAAATACATAAATAAATAAAATTACCCCCAGTTTAGGGACCACTGATATAGATGAGCCCTGATGCATCAGACAAAAGGTTCATTTAAATTTCTTACAATGTCTTCTTTACAAATAGATTATCACCTCCCACAAATAGGATATGAACACAGTCATATGCTCCTGTTGCCTTTCTTAGTGACATACTCAAAAGCATATTGCCTCTGATACATATGGTCCTCCTCTTCTTCCTCCTTTTCCTTCTTTTTTAGGCTTCGGCACAAACTCATAGAGTTGCAATTGCACAAATTTGAGTGTGTTAATCCAACACTTTTTTTCTTTATCTTAAAGGAAAACCGCCTATTGTTGAAGTCCTAGATGCTCTCTCCCATGAACTGGCTGCCTGCAAACTCATCGGAAGCAAGTCTCTTGAGAAAACACCAGGACACCAGTCTTTGTCAAGTTCTTTGGTTATCTCCTGTTGAGCAATAATGCCTCTATTATGTTTTGCAATTATAACCATAGGGTTAAAAGTTGCAATCCAAAATCATGGAGGGTTCTGCCACCATTTATGTAATGGTCCAATGCAAGAGATGGAATGATAAAATAAATGGCATAAATATAAAGAGATAGGCAAATAGAACAGAAAATCCAGGGTTATCTGTACAGACCGGCAATGAGCCTTGAATAGATTTTGAGAGATGGATCTCTCATCCTTTCTTATGGGACTTTATACAGTTGGATATATGATTTGAGATTTGAGAACCTATAATACAACATACATCTGAAACCTGAAATTATATTCAATATTTCCAAAGTCCCCCAAACTCTCATTTAATTTACAATTAAATTTTATCCAGTATTTACTCCTTATGGCATTAAGTGGCACCTGAAATCTCTAATTTACCAGTATCATTCATACACTACAATTAGTCCATACTGTAATGACTCTAACTGGGATGGTCATTTCTATTACTAAGCAAAAATTCATATAAACACTCTGCTTATGATTATTAAGCAAATGGTCATTAAGTGAGATATTATGTGACTATGACTTATTACTTCCTGCTGGCTTCCCCATTGGCTTTGCTTGTTACAGCCAGCTGGGAAGGTGGCAAATGGCAATCCCTTGACTAGAGGTATGGTGAAACAGTTATAAGTTCAAGAGCCAATCATAAGTCAATTTTTCAGCACTGTCGTAACTTTCAACAGTTGCTAAACAAGTGATTGTTAAGCAAGGACTACCTATAATTTATCATATGTAAAATAATACAGTAATATTATTACCCTGTAGAAATTTACTTTTCTGAACATAGCAGAGAAGATTAATTTGCATTTTTAAATATTATTCCAGTACAGTTCTTTTCTTGAGCATTTCCTTGGTGGCCCAATGCTACACATGAAGAAAATAAAATTAAAAAGTACCTAGAAGGATTATACGTTAAAGGAGGAATAAAGCTGACCTGAAGTCTGCAGGAATTACTTTAAGCTATTGCATCTGGACTGCAACATTTATACAAGGGCACCAAAAAGATTCCACATCTACATCTACAGTATTTGTAGCCCTTTGTTTTTTAATGGAATCATAACAACTTTCCATTGGAGTTAGGTGCAAAATGGGACCAGGAAAACAAGAAACAAAGTGCTTTGGAAGAGGATGTAAAAGAAGCAGATTGTAATTTTTTCACACACAAAAATCCACTCTTTGTTTTGTTTTCTGTTTGGATGAGAGCTACCATACTTTAGTTATGGTATTAAGGGAGAAATGCTGTTCATCTACCACAACCATTCACATCGTCTCTATCAGTACCTCCTTATCTTCCATCTGTCTATTCCTGCCTTTCAGTAATCTGTAAAATAGTTACAGGTTGTTGTTATTGCATGTACTTGGAGGAACTTGGGTGTTAAAATAATCTGACTGAACGATATATGTATGGCTACTTGTAAACATAGAGTTTATTTTATTCTAGAATTATGTCTGCATTTTTTTTTTACTGGAAATTTACAAATGTAGTATATCTTGGTATGACCTTTTGACTATTATCTTCAACCCTAGTAAAATGTAGGTGATTATATTAAGTCACCTTGATTTTTAAAAAAAAATAATGCTAGTGCAGCAAAAAAGGGGGGAGGGTAATAGGAGCTAGACAGAATCACAGGAAGTTTCTGATTATATCTTTGAGGATATACAGTATACAGTACTTGGATTCTTTAAGTGGTATTCCTTCCCATTACCTATCTTTGTAAAGTATTCTGGTCTATGTCCTGGCCTAACTTTTCAGTCAGCTCAGAGTAGACACTAGCTCTAATTCAGTCATTGTTCCTTGTGCAGTTTCACTGATTTTTCAAGGATTCTAGATCCTTGATATTAATAAGGTGCAGTCAGCTGCCTCCTGATTTTTTTAGTTCATGAGAAATTTACGTTAAAGCTTTAGAATTTCTGCTGAAATTCAGGTGATTGGTGGCAATCAGATGTAAGAGAGAGGCCAGCGAACCTGGTGCATGCTTCCCTTGGCCTGTTACATAATCAGGATTTATGAAAATGGCTTATCTCCAAAACATATGAAAGATGACTCATAACTGAAAGCTTGATTATCTCAATATGAAACTATTGATCTGGTTTGAAGATCATGCTGCCCCGTGGCTTAAGCATGATGCCAACTTGGCTGAGTTTGGTCAGTGTGCTGTGCTTAGACAACTTTCAGTGGCTGAATCACACAATTTGCAGACCCAAACCCAACATTACAGTTTAGCACACCTTGATTTTTTTGTCTCTATTTCAGGTGCCCCTGGCAATCATTGGATAATAATGTGATTTATAACACATGCACTACATTATATTTTCCATCTCCGTAGTTTCTTTATTTTTGTTCTGTATATTTTAATCACCTTCCTTCATGGCATGTTTCTGGAAATTCCATTGTGTGCTACAATTTATAAGCTTTCAGATAGATTAATAAAGTTATTCTCACAATATGGATTTGGATTTTTTTTTCTCATGGCCAACTTAACTATTATTTAGTTTTGCACCATTCTTTAATTTAATTTAATCTTGCCTTAAGATATTTCAAAGTACTGTTTGATTAAAACAGTATTGCAGCCTGAAGCATGTATACTTAAAGATTGAATTTCTTAAAAATATTGGAATATATGATTAAATTTTCAGGATAGTTAGCTTGTACAAATCTTGTCTTCATGTGCTTATTGTGGCATTATTGTCTCTTTGATAGGCTCAGAGGGAAAGTACTAGAGCAGTTCTGATAAATGCTACTGATGCTAATAATCAAAAGACACTGTGCATCTGTTCTACCTTCTCAGTGGATTCTTTTCTTAGCATGAAAAAAGGGGAATGCATTAGAAAAACAAGGGAGATGTCAACATCTGCACCACCCATAGAATTTTATGAATGAGAAAAACTTGATTTGCATAGTGAAAGCCTTATTTGGAAGCATTTTGGATATGTCTATTACTTTGGTTTCAAATGCAAATGCTGATTTGCAGTAGGAGAATATAGTAGCCATTAGCTTGGCAACATGTTTGTTGCACTATGCTGGAAATTGGGCTACAATCCTCACAGAAATTGTTTTTAGATCTGCTGGCAAATGGACTCCTGAATTATCACACTAAGCCACAGATTATTGGCCATGTTTGTCCAACACTCCTGGCAGAATGAGCTGGTTCTTGGGAGTCAACCTTGATCCTGGTGCTCCAGCAGTGACAAAAAAAGGAATGGTGATTTTTCAATATCTTCCTAGCAATTGCAGAAAAAGATTAGGGAGCATGTTTTTTTTTTAAAAAAAATAATAATGAAAAAATAAATCTGCAATGATGTGATATCAAGTCAGGCAACTTATTCATCCACCTTTCCCTTCCCATTTGCTAATCCCCTCAGTTGTAGAAGCTCTGTTTGTGTATGTGTGTTAAGAGACAGAGAGAGAAATTCATTTTGTCTATCCTGCTGCATTCAATCTCAGTACTTTAACTGTCTAGGACAGACATGTCAAACACAAGGCCCAGGGGGCGGATGCGGCCCACAAAGTGGTTTCATGTGGCCCACAAAGCCATCCTGAAAAAAATGAGGGAATGGCCCCCGCTGCCTTGGCTGTGGCCCAGGCTGGTGGGAGCCAATGTACAATTTTGTGGTGGCCATCTATGCTGAAACGCATTCAGTCTTAGCTCCACAAGGCTGTCTAGAAACAGCAAGGAACCGGCCCCTGCCGTGTTGGCCCTGCCCCCTGGGTGCATGCTGGGGAGGTGTCACCCTTTGTGAGGAATGAAGAAATGGACCATGCCTTGGCACTTGCCCCGGTCCCACCCCTCAGATCTGTCCCACTCCTGCCCAGGCCCCCCAGCACCCTTGACGTGAGCTATGTAGAGCTGGCCATGCCCAACCAGTAGGCCACACCCACCCTGGCCACACCCACCCGGCCCCATGAGGACAACCACAACGCTGATGCGGCTCTCAATGAAATTGAGTTTGACACCCCTGGTCTAGGATGTTTACAGATATAGTGCTAGGATTCTCATTTTAATAATTTTGGGTGGTTCCAATCTCTGTGGAGTGACCATGTGGATCCCACTTGAAAGGACGATATTTCTGACCCTCATAGGACTACCCAAATGATTACTGCTCATATTTTTGTAACAGGAAACACTTGTCTTTTTGCTCAGGACCAGAAGTAATGATCAGAGCATTAAGAGCCAATATATGGTCCCTTTTTTAATTGACAGATCACTAATAGTTTTTCTACTATTATACTGACTAGAATTCCTCTGCAGTGGTAGCGGGGCCTAGCAGAATGAATCTAAATGGTTTTCTGACTGTATGGGGCATGTTTTTTGTGCCTTCAAAACAGTGATTCTATTAAGGACATGGTCAGTCTGAGGCAGGGAAATGATCCAGACGATAGACAGAATGGCTTCTGAAGATCTAAAGGAAACAGCTGAGAACACTGGTTATTCAGGAAGCTCAGGACAATGAAACAGCAGGATTAGCAGCTAGAACAATGGTGGAGGAAGTCTTGGGATAAAGACTAGCACAGGCTAGAATCTACGTTAAAGTCTCTTGCACAACTTTGAGGAGAGTGAAGAAAATGCATTTGCTTCTAGAATCCATCTGAAGATGAGTTATTCCAAACTATACTAGCTCTATTACAACCAGGGCTTTTTTTCTCATAGAATGCCCAGAACGGAGTTCCGGCACCTTTTTTGGATGGAACCTTGTAGGGTAGGCAAGGCAGGTTGTATGACGTGTGTGAGTTCCGGCACCTTTTTTTTTTTTTTTTTAGAAAAAAAGCACTGATTACAACAATAACTGAGAAAAGCTGCCTGCCTGCCTGCAGTGACTTATTTGAGAAAGACTTGGTAGGAATAAAAATCACATTTACTCTAACTTTGGCTTCTTGGTTATAGTAGATTCTAATGCTGTATTTCCAGCATCTGCTTGTCCTGGAGAAACCCTTCTCTGTGGTATAACTTGGTGAGAAGACAAAGAGTCTTCTAAACTATGAAAGTCACCATCACTGGAGATATTTTGTCAATAGTACAAAAGTTTCTTCTACAAGAATGCACTCACTCAACAGATAATGTAAACTACTTTAAAATATTAAGACTTAACTTTTATCTACTTTATAATTATAGGGATCTGCTATTAAAACATGCTGGCATCACATGCATCATTGATGACCTGTCTGCTTGCCATGGATATAATTTATATTTGGGGTTTTCATAGTTTTAAATTTTATTTTTATATGGCTTTGAGTCACGTAGCATATGCAGCAAAATAACAAATGGGGAAATTTATTTCTTCGTTCCTGGAACTATAGTCCTCTTAAAAAATGTTGGGGATAAGGTCCCGTTAACAGACTTGCCATGATTTTTCTAAGTCCTAGAGGTTACTCACTATGAAGAAAAATCAGAACAAAAGGGAAAAACTGGTTTTAGTATTAAGGATTACTGAAGATTGACTATTCCAAGATTCTGTAATTAGTAACAGTTCAGCAGTGTATTCTATAACTCATAATACTGAAGGAGGAAATTACAATATTCTAAATCTAGAAAGGACATTTTCCTTACAGATGTATTAATGTCTTTCAGATAAGTTATCAATTAAGATATCTTTCCTATATATGAATGCTAGGTTATTTAATGAGCATTAGCCATTACAGGTAATCCTCGACTTACATTCACAATTAAGCCCATTTTTTTTGCTGAGACAGTTAAGTGAATTTTGCCCCAATTTATGACCTTTCTTACCATAGTTGTTAAGTGAATCACTGCAGTTGTTAAGTGAATCTGACTTTGCTTGTCAGAAGGTAACAAAAGGTGATTACATGATTCTGGGCTGCTGCAATCTTCATAAATATGAGTCAGTTGTGAAGCATCTGAATTTTGATCACGTGACCATAAGGATGCTGCAACAGTTGTAAGTGTGAAACACGGTCTTATGTCACTATTTTCAGTGCCATTGTAACTTTGAATGGTCACTAAATGAACTGTGTTGTAAGTCAAGGACAACCTGTACAGGGAAATAGGTAATTGATGAGATTTTTCTTTCGCCATAATTATGTAATGAATATACATAATTGTTATAAAAGTGGAAATCATTATAGCAAAGTTACATATTTCCCATATCCCAAAAAAAATCTATGCATTTATATTATGTTTTAGACTGACCTGAATGTCAGAAATCAGAATACAGTTGGAAGGGACCTTGGAGGTTTTCTAGTCCAACTCCCTGCTCAAGCAGGAGATCTTATGCCAGTGATGGTGAACCTTTTAGAGACTGAGTGCCCAAACTGCAACCCAAACCCACTTATGCATCGTCGGGTGCTGAGTGGGTGTGGCCATTGGGTGGGTGTGGCCCATTGGGTGGGCAGGCTGCGGTGATAACAGCAAACTGGGTGGGACTAAAAAGTTCAATCAATCAATTCCAACTTTGCAAGATCTTTTCTTTTCCTCGCAAGAAGTTGAAATTGACTGATTGATTGAACCTTTTTTTTTTTTTTTTTTGCACACGGCCTCAGAGGCCTAAAACAAAATGGTTTTTGTTGCGTCCTTGGCGGGAAAACAGACACGAGAAGCAGCTGGAGTTCTCAGTTTCTTTTATTCAGCGTTCAGCTTACAGGAAGATGGATTCAGCCTCGCCCAAACGCCTCGCAGCCTCTTATATAGGCAACTCCCGGGTAAATGGGTTACTTTTCCCGCGCCAGCACCCGCGCATGCGCACCGCGCTGGCGACAGCCTGTCTGGTCCCGGGCAGCTTTGCACCTGCCCGGGACTGCCTGCAAACGCCCGAGCCGTTTGCAAGGCTCGGGACATAACACCCCTTTCCCCCGGGCTAAAACTACTACCAACATACACCATTTATTTTTATATGACATTTTGCTCCCCAGTGCTCCCACTGTTTACTGGCCTTTGCCTTGCCAGCAATGTTATGTAGTCTTCTAGGTACTTAGGAGATTTCTTTGCTCTCTGTGACCTTCTTAGCTGTGGGTTACTGGCATAAGTCCCCGGACTGGAGGGAGGCGTGAGCCTGTTCTCTCTATTGTGCCCTGGTGTCTTCCAAGGACTGTGCCCCGATGCCTGGCCTGCTTGCTTGCCCACCGGGCTCGTCAGGCCAGGGCTTCTGTTGCTTTGTGACCTGGTTCTCCTACCTAGCTGTAGACCCTCAGGCCCCTTGAAGTGATAGCCACTGCTGGGCGTCTCTGTAGAACCTCCTAGGTCAGTCCAAGACCTGTCAGGAGGCTGTCCCATCCCTGAACCCCATTCTGTGCTCGGGCTCGTGTGGGTTTCTGTACTTTCCCAAAACTCAGGTGTTCCCTGAGTTGTGCTCGGGTTGTTGTAGTCGGGACTTGGTTCCTCGACTAGCTCTGTGTATGTTTGACCCCCTGTAGGATTTGGGGTAAGGTCAGGCCAACTTTGGGGATTGTGTGCCAGCTCTCGTGCGGGGAATGATTTGTTGGGATGCCCCCGGGTA